GGCACTGCCGTGTATTGCATAGGTCTCCCACCCGAGCCCCTAAAGCCTTCCTTCCTCTGCCCTGAGCCCTATTTCCAGGGCTGTTTCCCCATTCGAGCGCTCATCCTGCTGTGAGTCTGTGCCTGTGGCTGGACCACTGCATCTCAGTCCCCCGTCTTTACATGAATCTCGCCAAGATTCTGCCAAGCTGTTGGCCAGATTGCCTGGGAGAAGCTGGACCTGCTGTTTTGGGAGCCACATCGTGAGCAGCTGGCCCTGTTATGTCCCGGGCAGCTGGACTTAGAGATCATGGATAAGGGACAAGTTCAGGGCAACAGACACACACACACACACACACACACACACACACACACACACGCACGCACGCACGCGCGCGTATTCTGTTCGAGCCCCTTTTAAGACCAAAAGGTTTTATGGAGGCAAGACGCTCTTGGGTGCTTCTCAGCTCCCCTGGTGGGCCTGTTTCCTCCTCCAGGGAGCCTCCCAGTTCTTTCCTAAGGGCACTCTTACAAGGTCTGCCTCTTCTGCTCTGGAATCCCGCTTTCAAGACATGGTAGGAAGTGGATGAGAAGTGGGCAAAACCCAAAGCAGGAAGACCAGTCAGGAGGTGGTTTTAGAATCCAGGCAAGAGAAGACGGGCTGCATGAGAAACCAATAGGGCTCCCAGGAACTTCACTCATTCTGTACGAAGCTTTTCTCTAGCTGGTTGAGCTAGGGTAAATTTCTTAATCTCTCTGAGCTTCAAACTCCTCATCAGTGAAAAGGGGATGATAATGGTCTCTTTCTTACAGCGTTGTTATCTGGGTAAATGTTATACAAAAACCTTTTGTGCACTGCAGTGTATAAGAATGTGGTCTTTTCTAAATATTAGCAATTAAGCAGTGCTGGGCTTTTAGCCAAGGGCCCGTCCTTGGTGAGCTTCTCTTACCCACCAGAACCCCCCACCAGTCTCGTTTTGTGCCGAGCACTGCGTTTCTCTTTACTGCAGCTCAAGCAGTGAGAAATTGGGGCTGGGTTGGACTTTTCTTTAAAGCCTGGAAACCTAGCTTTAAAATAATACATTCCAGTTTCTGTCCCCTCCCTTGTGAGGTAACACTCAAGTACTGACGAGTTCTCAGGTCAAGAATCCATGTGTGCTGATTCGTGTGAGACAAGCCAATTGGAAGCACGTGACTCAAATTTTCGTATTTACAAAATTTATGTTGCAGATCAGTGAATAGTCAGGTTGGGAGGGCCTTAAAGGTCATCTGGTCCAACCCACTCATCTTTCAAAGGGGGAAACTGAGCAACAGGGAAGGGAAGGATATGACCCAAGATCACAGAATCAACCAGAAACAAACCTGGGTGAAATCTACCTCACGTTATGTTGTGGAATATTTTCATTGGGAACCTGATAAACTTTACTGTCATTTTTACCCTATCTGTCACCCTGGTGCGATAATGTAAGAAACTGCTTGGCCCGTATCACCACAGCCCCAGAACAAAAGGATATAGGTGGGGAGCGTGAACCTATGGATGCTTTTCCATTCCTTTATCAAACCTTACGAAGCACCACCTTTATGCCAAATACGGAGAGTTCTGCGATACAAGACATGGGTCCCACCTTTAAGGCATTCACATTTTAATGATGAGGACAGACAAGGAAACAACCTCCAGCAGGACAGGCTATTTTCTATACAGTTCGACGAACATTCCTGCCATCTGCTACTTTATATTTCTTTATATTTCTACTTATGATTACATTGGCTCTCCTCATGTACAGATTAGTATGAGCCTGATTTTCCCAGAAAGAAACATACCGAATACCATAGCTTGATGAAGATCAGTGACATGGTCCTTGAGTACCTACTTCAGTCCCCTCGTTCATTTATTCCCTCAAAACATATTTGTTTGGTACCTAGTATGAGGTACCAAGGATGCGAAGATAAATAAAAGATAGTCCTCTTTTTCAAGAAACTGACAGCCCAGTAGAGAAATAAATAATGATCATGGAAGTTTTTACAAGGGAAGCGGGGTGGATGAATGCCTAGGAAAAAGGATGTGTGTTGGCCTTGGAAAGTCCGCGGAGGTTTCATGGAGGAGGTGGCATGTGAGATGAGGCCACTTAAGGAATAGCCTGCTGAGCAGTCTAAGAAAAGAGAACAGCATGTACAAAGCATGGAGCTGTGGAAGCATGTACGGCCTGGGACCTGTAGTAGGTGACTATTCCCTGGAATATGAGGTAAAAAGACAGCGTGCCAGAAAATGAGGATATGAGTAGGCGGGACCTGTGCCGAAGTAGGAAGATGGGGCTACATCCTGTAGACAATGAAGAACTGTTGAGGGCTTTAGGGAGAGGATTAGATGGTGAGGTTTATATTTCAGAAATCCATTCAGGCAGCCATGCAAAAGAAGGTGAGTTGGAGTCACAGAGCCCAGTGATCATTAATCCAGGCAAGACCTTGAGGGCAGTGGCAGTGCCACTCAGAGCCAGTTCAGAACTTGATTTTCTACGTGATTCACCCATTGCCAGGCACACCTGAATGATGGTGCTGATCAGGAACTGGAACCAAGAAGCATGAAGCTATCTATGCATTTGAATCTCCAGAACTGTGATTCATGGTCCTGACAATGTTCCCTGTGTGTGGAATAGACCACCCTCTCCCCAGGCAGCTGGAATGGTTTAAGGCATCATAAACGATCCACGAGGAATCGTTTCCAAGCTTCCTTGCCTAAAAGAGAAGCTGACAGGTTAACCTTGAAAGGCATTTGGGGGAGGTGGTTTTTAATAACCCTTAACCATTTTCCCATCATTAATACAGACTCACTTCTGAACTTGTGGTTTTGGTAAATCTAACCGTGTTTTCCAAATAAGGACTTGGCACGGTGACTGATCCTTCTCTCATCCTTTTTTTAAGTGCCAAAAGACACTGATTCAGCCTCTCAAGACTTCCTGCTTTTGCTCCTTTCATCCCTTCTCCTAAAATGCCTGCCATCTACCTGTCCGCCTGTGACTGCACAGGCGTCTTACAGAGCCAGGTTCAAATTCCAGTTCCGCCATGGATTATTTGTATGATCTTGAGAAAGCTGCCTTTGTCTTTATTGCTGAGTTGCCACAGGGCAACAGAGCAAGCTCGTGAAGGACTCAGCCCAGTGCCTACCCCACAGCCAACACTCAGGATTCAGTAGCAGTTATTACTAGGTGGGATTCTAGTTCAATAAGGAAAATTTGTAATTCTCTTCTGAAAAGAACCAAGTGAAGTACTGAAAGACTTGGTAATATGTCTTGATTATCAGGATAACCATGAATTACAGTTTTCTTACCCAGATTAATTAAACCTGACACCTGAGTACCACTTGATTTCCATACCTAGCTGTGGAGTCCCACAGTAACTTATAATTAAGAGACAGTTGCTAATAAGAGACTCAGAATTTGAAATTAAGGGCAAAAATAAGTAGAGAAACTCCATGATAAAGGGCATAGTTGTAATCCTCAGGTCCTTTTCTCAAACAGAAGAACCTAGAACACACAGGGCCATCTTAAAGGTATCTCCCCACCATGTTGTGTGCTGTTGTGTTGGTACCAAGAAGGAAGACTTCCCTGGTGGTAGTGGTTTGGTTTCATTTCAGTGAAAGTGTTGTACAATGTTAGGGCAGGTTACTGACAATGGGTGTGGAATCCATTTTAGAAGAAGGTAAAAAAAAAAATAGTAGCAAAGTATGTGATGAGATTACCCTTTCTGGTCTATTGCAGGTGTAGACCTGCCTAGAGCCTGGGAGAGAATGTATCTCAAGCACGTTGAAGGACTAGGTCCACCTGGGTAAATTCTTCAAAACCTAACCTGGTCTCATCCAAAGGGATTTTAAAGTTCTTGTGACATTTTTCTTTATCATGGCAGTCTTTCAGGTTTTCAAGGTTACTTGGACTTTTAAAAATCAACCTGTGGTTAATTTGTTTTCTTTTCATTCTTTTTAAAATTATAAAACCACTACATAAAAGGAAAAAAATTTTATATCATCCTTAGTCTTTTTGCCCTAATACAACTATTTTAATTTTGGAGTATTTTTTTTGTCTTTATTTACTTACCTATTTCCTAATTAGCCATCACAGTATATCTGAAAGAGTTTTGTTATTATGTTTGCCTTATTAAGGAAGAAATTGAAGATAAAGTGGTTAATTAATATTGCCCTAAATAACATACAAAGTAAATGGCTAAATCAGGAGTAAAAATCAGGAACAACTCCAAACCATGCTTTTTTTTACCTACACTCTACTGCGATAATAGCCACATAATCGATAAGGTAACATTATTTCATGTACCATTATTTTTACTTACTAGCAGTAACAGTAAAAGAATAGAATTACGTCAGCTGAAACTCACCTACCAATCTTTCAAAAAATTCACCAAGTGTTGGGCAACACTAAAAACAATGTTGTAGGAAGTCTCTGAAATTGAGAAGGGAAATAGCAAATTGATGTGACTAATAAGAAAGAACTCTTTCCATTTTTTTCTAAAAGCTGCAACTTTAGAATTAGAGCAACTGAGACTCCCTACCATTGCTGATCAGATTTTCCAAGCCATGTTTGACCATTTGACTATAAAGACTTCTTATTGTTATTGTTAATAATCCCACTTAATATCCCCACAAACTAATTGTAGAATTAGGCACCTGGGCAGCAAATGCTAGTGGACTTAATACATAGAAGGATAATATAAACAATTTCCATATACTTTACATGAGTAGCATAAAAAGAGACAGTTGCCTTCCCATCTTGTAGTCAATGCCATGTGAAAGATGACACATACAGAGGAGGAGCCCTACAGCCTTTTGAACTGTAAGAAGACTTCATCTCTTTTCTAGAACACAAAATAGAAGGAAATAGACTTGGGGAGGCTTTGATCAGACAGCCTGGAGGGAGTTCCCACCAAGGAACTGCTCCGAACTCCGAGCTTGGCTCGTAATCAAGTTTGAAATAATCACAGCCATGGCGCTAATTGCATTAATTTGCTTTTCTTCAGGCAGAATGGGGAAACAGAATAGCAAACTGGCCCCCGAAGTGATGGAGGACCTGGTGAAGAGCACAGAGTTTAACGAGCATGAGCTCAAGCAGTGGTACAAAGGGTTCCTCAAGGACTGCCCGAGTGGGAGGCTGAATCTCGAGGAATTTCAGCAGCTCTACGTGAAGGTAAGTTGTTTTTCAACCTCTCTTTTTTCTTCAGACCAGAAAACACTGTCTTCATAAAATGTAGTGTCATGTGGAATTATAACTCAAAGTCGATTTGTGTCATCTAAAAAGAAAAATGGACAATTTAAAAAATGCAAAGGGATGTGTTTTGTTCCAGAGATAAGTCAAGCAGTTTCTGAACAAAAAGAGTCATTGTTCAATCAAAACACTGACTAGAGTTTAGAGAGTGAAAGAAAGTTAAAAAATTCAGATAACAGTGTTCGCTGATGCTTATTGACAAGCTGCTGATTACACTATTAATCAGTTTCTTAAAGGTAGCTGGACTTCTCTTAGTTGAAGAGAAAGTATTTGGGAGGGATTTAGAAAGGTCGTCCTATTTGCAGATAAGAAAGAAACCCAGAGCCCACCACATCGCATTTAGAAAGGAGTGGGAGTTCCGGTGGCCATCTAGGCGTCAATGTCTACAACATGGGCTCTTAACCCAGCATTTGGTACTGGAAGCTAATCTTGCCCTGGACATTAGCTGAAACGGGGCCACAAAAGGTACCATTTCTACTGCAGCGATATGGTTTTGTCTTGTCTGAGTTTATCAGTTGTGTTGGTTCTAGATTTGGCATGATCTAAGACATTTCATTTTGTGTCTACTTCTATAATGTGAGGCTTGTGGAAAATATGCGTTGTTTTTCTTTTAACTTTTTCTGATGAAAATGCCAAATGGAAAATATTGATTTTATCACTTACATGTAGTAAGTGCCCATTTGAGCACTATGAAACATCCACAGGCATGTGTGGGGGTGGGGTGGGGTGGGTATGGGGGTGATTGCATAAAATATTAAGCATTGTCATTATCTCCTGAAGTTGAACCTTTCACATAGCCTGTCTGTGTACAAGAAAGGACATGTATAATAAGATTCATGCTCATAGCTGCTCTGTTCACAATAGCAAAGCCGGGAAACAACCCAAATGCCCATCAAAGGGAGAGTGGAAAATAAACTGGTGTATTCACACAGCAGTCAAAGCAGTTGAACTGTAGTGACACTGAAACATTCAGTTCAAAAAGTAAATTAAACACAAATAAGATAAAAACATATTTTATGGCTATAAATAAGTGCAATAAAATCATATAAAAAGCAAAGCACACAGGATTCAGACTGATGATTATATCCAGTAGAGAAGCAGGAAGGGATAAGATGGAGGTACGGCCTCTTTGTTACGTATAGAGTGAGTCAAAATCATACCTATGGTTTTGGGTGATGAGTTTGTGGGTGCTTATGTCATTATTAAAAGCTCACTAACCCTGCATGGACCACTGATGAGTGTCAGGGGCCTAGAATTATCATTAATCCACAGCTGAGCACCTGGGGTGATAGGTTTATACATAACTATCTCCTTAAACATGTGCAGAAAGGTAATACACCTATGCTGGCAGGTGTGCAGGTTATAAGATCACTGTGACAGTTCTAAGAAGATCTAACTGATTTTTCAGCATGTGAAGATCTTTTATACAGAAGTGCTGAGAAATGTATTTATTATTCAATTGATATAAATTGCTTTTACAGAGAAATGTGATGGTATGCGTGTTCCTAGATTATTATACAGACCATTCAACATGGTTTTCAAAGTCACATCTTCTACCATCTTATCACCCAGAAGTTAGCCTGAGCCTCAGGACTGTCTTTGCTCTCAGCCCTAAGGAAAGTACCGACAAATGAGATTTGTCAAAGCCACTTTCCTATCGCTGAAAGTCATGCAAGCTGTCATTCTGTGTTTATGAGAGCTCTGCGTTCCAAACAGTGTTCCTCACTATTTGTTTAAAATGAGAGGACTTGCCTTTGAAGACATAGTTGAAATGCAGGAAATGATGTATTTCATTTATATACTGGAAGGACTCAGCACTGAAAATGCACCCGCCTCCAGGTGTGGGGAGGGAGTGGGGGGGGGATGCAAACATCAAACACAGCTCAGTGTTTTGTGGTACAACTGATGTACCTGTTCCAACACCATTTCCCACCCCCCTCCCCCACTCCACCCCAGAGTGGATCTTTTTGTTCCGGGAAGGGGATATATGACTTTCTGGGTGGAGTCTAGATTCTTGGCAGTCTCTTAACAGCCATATTCAAACTCAGTCTGTGCTCTTGTATCAAATAGTCAGAAAGCAGTAAAGTCTTCCTCTTCTTCCAGAGTTGTCCAAGGATATAATACAAAAGGGAATCACAGGAAATATGTCACAGGCACAAAAAAAAAAAAAAAGATCCGATAAGCTAGAAGGGAGAAGCACAGAGAAAGATGTGGATTATATAATACGGGCCAGGAGAGGGGCCGACAAGAAAAGCCTTCCTTTAGGTGCTGCTGAAAAGTGCAAATATTCAGCAAGACATAGTCTGATCCTGGTGAAACGGCTCTTTTCAGTAGTTCATTCTAGCTCAGTGTAGACACTGAGACATCCCAGAATCCAGCTGAACGAGCAAAACTGCCTGTGGCCTCTGCCCTCCTGTCTGTGTGGTCAGCCTGGCACATCTACTGTTGCCAACCTGACCTATTACAGGCTCCAGGCTGTAGAACAAATTCTGATGAGGGTGTCAGGGGCAGGAAGGGGGGGGCGGGGGAGGCAGGATAATGGAGGGGGCCCTTCTGCAAACTTCCGCAAGTCCAGGAGCCATGAACCCTCAACTTCAGAAGCATCTGCCTCCAAAATTTAAAGGAACTCTTTCATTAAGTCTGCATATAAGAATGTTTAAAACTGAGGTTCAGAAAAATGAGGCAATTTGTCCAGTGTCACAAACAGACTAAAGGCAGGACAGACATTGAAAATGGGTACGCTGACTCTCACCGCAGCACGCAACCCTACCTGTCGACTGGATTCCCCCGGCAGCTTCTCATCGAGCCCCTCCATCCCCTCCACCAGCTATCTGCTGGACTGAGCTTTGGAAAACACAGGCCTGGGTGTGGTCCTTCATAGTTTCATGCAGGTTTCATTCTTTAGTCCTATAGACCTCCATCATCTCATTTCAATCACCGATAGACCAGTGGCCGGCACAGAGCCTACCGCAGAGCAAGCATCGGTAAGCGTCTGTTGAGTGAGTATCTTAAATGTTGGCTGTGATCTCCTCAGGAAACCTCGTGGTGGAGGCATAGAGAAGTAACTAAAGGATAGTCCTCCCTGCCCTCTGGGTCTTACGGGCTAGTGGAGAAGACACAGTCAACCACACAGTATAAGGAAGAATGGCATGAGTGCTTACAAGAGTGGAAAGAAGAGGCTAATTTCAAAATGGGATCTTAAAATAAGAAGTTAATTACTGCAGTGATGGAGGACTTTTCTCTTAGCTTTTTCGAAGATAAAATATCTCTCTGAGTAGATAGTTTTTACCTTTTTCAAGCTTGGTACCTGTGATAGGCTGAACTCTGCCTTCTCTCCTCCTCACCCCAAATTTATATGTTGACATTTTAACCTCCAGTACCTCAGAATGTGACTGTGTTCGGAGATGGGGTCATTAAAGAGGTAATTTTAAGTTAAAATGAGGTCATTAGACTGAGCCCTAATCCATCATGACCGATGTCACCGGAAGAGGAGACTAGGACACAGACATGCACAAAAGGGAAGGCCATGTGAGGGCACAGGCGGGAGATGGCCATCTGCAAGCCAAGGAGAGAGGCTTCAGAAGAAACCAGCCTTACCAACAACACCTTGATCTTGAACTTCTACCCTCCAGAAATATGAGAAAATGTTTTTTTATTGTTTGAGCCACCCAGTCTGTGGTACCCTGTTACGGCATCCCCAGCAGACGAACACAGTACCCGTTTCTTCTCTGTTACAAAGCTCTCACGTGCAAACACAGAGCCCTCTGTATCTGATACAAAGATGCTTTCTGTCAGGCACCCAGCACACACAGGAAAGTCTGTGTCTCTGGTCACAGAAGTTGTAGGACGTGTTTCCTCATCCCCACCCCAGCACCACCATGGCAGATTGGGAAGGGAGCTTTTGCATTTCATCACAAAGAACCAAGTATCTGACATCTCTCCCCCATGAGAATCCCCTGTTTATAACAATCATTGCGATTACTAAGTCAAGATCACAAACTAAGATTGAGAGTTGGCAATTTTAAGTATATTTGAACTGGCCACAGTTTCAAAAGAAAACAGACCCTGGGGAAAGAGCAAGCAACTGTGTGAGGGAGGAAGTGTCCTATCCCAGGCCCTCTTCCTTGGAAGGCTGATGCCGGCCTATTTTGATCAGTCACTGTGACATCAAAGCCAAAGAAACCATGTAACAGAGCTGGCAGAGTCCTGTGAAGCTCTGATGTTTGTTTGGAGTTTGACTGTCAGGGTTGTTTTCATGGGTACCATTTGGGTGGGTTCAGGTAGAGGTGAAAAGGCAGTTGGGAGGTAGCTAGAAAAGATCATGAGATTTGGAATCTGATAGGCCTGAGATGCAATCCTAGCTGTGCTACCTTTGCCAGATCTCTGCCTCTCCGAATCTCTGTTCCCTTGTCATTATTATGGAAATGAGGAGCCCTCTCCTATCACCTCAATGATGGAGTCCCAAAGGAGAGAGCGAAGTGAAAATGATTTGCAACCTAGAACAGGATGTTTTTACCATCATGATTGATAACCTATTCATCTACTCTCAGAGAGCTAAGATGGAAAATAGGTTTTCTTTTACATGCTAAAGCCAATGGCAGCATAAATGATCTACAGAAGAGGAAGTGAGGATCTATTGAGGTTCAACAGGAAAACGTGCCTTAATCGATAGTCTACCATGCCTACCATGTGTTCCAGGAGGGGACAGCAGCCATAGCCAAACCCACCACGAGGCTCTGCTAGCCTCATTCCCTTCGTAGATTCTTAGACTCTGAGCTCTGCAGCCTCCCCAGTCCCCCGCTGCCACACAGGATGACATGTGGCATTCAAGGCCTTCTTTATTCCGTCCCACCATCGCTCGATGTCCCTCACACACTTCCATCTGCTCAGTCCCTACTACTTATCGTTTTGCAGATGAAGAA